TCGTCTTGTGTGATAGACGCGTCGGACAGCTTGCTATAGAAGCTGTCAATGGGAGGTAACTGTGTCTCATTAAACTTAGACCAGTCATCCATATATTCATACGGGTAGATACCCTTACGTAGCAGCAAAGCTCGAGTTTCCTCTTCTGTGTAACAATTAGTTACAGCTAATTATAAGTCGTTCAGGTTATTAGCCTTGACCAAGCTGTCTAGAGACGACAACAGAAACTGAACACTATCTATGAATCTCAACCCATTTAGCGAAAAGGATATACATGTATATCTTTCCATATTGTTTGGGATACAGGATATGTTGCCTTTTACCTTTGAAATAGCTTGCATAATCAAGTGTGAATCATACCCGCGAAGATTGTGAAACACCACTGGTATATGAATAAGTTTAGGATTTATTCTTAGCTTCAAGTTACATTCATTGTGAGCCGCACCTCTGTATTTACCAGTAATGTGACAGTGATCTCTAACTGAATCACCATTCAGAGGTTTACAGCACACATGATAATGTGTGCTTTTGTTGTGGGCTTCCCGGTCTGTTTGGGTCATACGCATTGGTGTTTTGTTGCATAGTTTTTTAATAATCTTTTTCTCTTCGTGTTTTAAACACTTTAGAAATTCTTCAGCCGCGTCTGGTCCTCTATAAACAACTGGAGGGTTAGTTTGACCATCACAACGAACGACCACATACCCGAACCCACACGGTTCATGCTCTTGTACTTTTTGTGTGAAACTTTGATTAGTGGATTTAGCTACTGTATCGATTGGTTTAATGATAGCTTCGAAGTCGGCGTAGATAATATATGGTACTGGCATTTGATTTTTGTGGTTGATAAATTTCAAGATGTTGTTTTTTTCTCTCGGCATATCTATTCGTACGGCTGTCTCCCCTACACCTAGGCAATCAACCCTGTGCGAATCTAGCAGATCAGCCCTAGAAAACCCGTGAAGGCACCTTTCACAAAAGTGTTTCTTTTCCTGTGTTTCGATTGATTGTACAACAGTCGGCTGAAATTCTTTATCCATGTGTAGTGATATTTTTCACCTTGTTTGATCATAAATATATTGATCATTTTATGACAATCCTTATACAATAAAGGACTTATCCTGTGTACTATTACGTTTTTACCTTCGTGTCCGAAAACGTTTATGGCTAAGTCTGGATTCTGTTGTTCTATTTTTTGGATCTGAGAGATGGGGGTGGGTTCGTCTATACCTTCCCAATTGAGCCCGTCATCTTCTGGATAACTGGAAAGTCTATCGGAATGTTTTTCAACTGGAAATTTAGCGGATCTTATCGCTATCCTCATACAATTGTTGCCTCGGTTTTTGACGTTAACCATAGCTTGTTTTTTCTTGAAATACTCAGACATGGGTAAGTACGATCCACCTTTCAACGGTATATAGTTTGCTATATCCAGGTAGAACATGTTAATCTTGTCAACAACCTAACCAGAACCCATATTAGTGTAACGTTCTAGTGTTTCTCGCATTTTTTCTAATGATCTGTCTATAGAAGAGTTTATAGTGTCTGGTTGCGTTGTAACTTCTTGATTACCTCTGAAGTAAACATTGGTGTATTCAGTTGTTTCATTCGACTGTTGTTCTCTAGTGTCATGTTTAACGTGAGTTGAAATTTAATACCTCTTAAATCTTTCAGTTCTTCGTTTACTTTGTCAAATACCAATGGTTTTATATCTTCAACGTCTATGTTTCTTTGAACTTCCATCTTCCAACCTCTCAAATATTTACCTACAGCATGCTCAGTAGGCGTGAATTGTAATTCTATAGGTTTTTGTTCTTTCAGTAATTCAATTAACTCAGATTTCCTCATACGAGAATAACCTCGCATTCCACGTTCACGAGCTTGCTTTGTTAGTTCTTTCACAGTAGGTGTTTTTTGATACTTAAAACCTAATAAATCTTGTAATTCATGTTTTCTCATACGAGAATAATCTCGAAGTCCACGGTCTCGTGCTTGCTTTTTCAATTCATGTACTGTAAACATATCATAAAGTTACAAACACAGTGTTGATATTATATGTGAAAACAATTCTCTAAATAGACAAACATCCTTCATGTTAAACATAAGATGATGTAATATATATAGGATTGTGTAATCTAACCCGTAACATACACCTTTCATACATCGAGGGACTTGATACATTTGGCTTCATGAAATGTGACACTCTCATGGTGAGAGAAAAACATAACACAGTCTTCCTCGGGAGATAAAAAGTTATAGGTTTACAAACTAATAGGATACTTATTGATTCCATGCCCAGTGCCACATAGTCTTACTCTTTTGAGTAAGACTATAGCTACTTTTTTACAGGAGAGGTGAAAAGTAGTTATTTTATTGAATAGATACTTATTGATTGCTTGCCTTATATGGGATGACCCCATACACCATAGTCTTACTCCCTTAAAAGTAGCCATAGTCTTACTCTATCGAGTAAGACTATGGTTACTTTTGACAGGGGAGATAAAAAGTATTTGTGTATGGGTTTATGGTCCCGTACCACATTGTCTTTCGAGTAAGACTATGGCTACTTTTTTACAGGGGAGAACAAAAGTAGTTGTGTTATGGATTTAAAAATTAATATGAGTTAGGAATAGATACTTATTGATTCCTTGCCTTATATAGGCTAGTCCCGTACCCCCATTGTTTATACTACTTGGCGTCATGCTAAAAGACGCCACAATGCGAGGAGCGTTGAATAGGCAAGTTAACAACAATTGTCAACAATGCGTTTAAATGCCTGGGAATCCTTTTGATGTGCAATGGAATTTCATTGGAATGGATCTTGGGATGTTTCCTATAGAGAAATACTAGGATGAACTTTGGATGGAATGTCGCCCTTTCATGTAAAAATGTGGACACGCGTTCATGGTCTTGAATTTTGCGCCTGGCCAATCATTTGTGTGTCCAGTCTTTACATGCTGCCTAAAACTTAACTAACCAATCATTTCACTTTACCCCTTCCGCGAACATTTTTTTAAAACGTATGTCTACTCACTGTATTTTCCTTTTTAAACTATGCACTGTATGAATAACACAAAAGATTAATTGGGAATAAGAATGACATGTTTGTATGGATGATCAACTTCTTCATTGTGCTATAGCGACGTTTCGGTGTAGGTACTCATACCGTTTTCAACCATGAGGTGGTGAATATTTGTGTCTCATAGGCGATATGGCCGGATGCTGTTTTTAAATCCCTGGAACAACGAAATGTCTGTTATTGTAACTCATCATGTGACACAGCAATAAACTATATTTCTTCTTCTCCTGATGAGTTGTTTTGAAAACGTGTCTCTTCTCTTATTATATCCACTTACAAAAACATGTTGAAAGAATTTCGTCTTATCCGGGTGAGTTAAAATGTATAGCTCAAGCTGTTTTAGAAAAAGGATATAGCAGTAGTGATCACATAAAATTTAGTTAGTTTATATAACCTATTGGTACCATTGAAGGTAAGGAAAATGAATTATTTTATGCATCAGTAGATTTCGAAGACGCATTCGACTGGTCTGGCGATCATACTATTGGCAAAACCTATTACTATATAACATATATGTCAAATGTTTAAAAAATGTCCATTCCATTTATCAGTCTATCTTATCATGTATATTTTCTCATGGAAATACGAACTCATTCTCATGTAAACCAGATGTACTGGAAGGAGAAAACCTGTCACCTCTTTCGTTTGCACCTTGCCTACAGGACCTTGAAACATCACTTATGGAGTCTTGCAAAGGTTTTAAGTTAAAACTCATAAATTGAAAATGTCATAACTATGTTTTAAATTAACTGATGATGCATCTACAGTCAAATACATAACATCATGTAGATACTGGAGGAATAAATATTACCGTTTCAAAAGCTAAAGTAATGATTTTAACGGACCAAAAAGGGATTACAGAAAGAGTTTTAATGTTGAAGTATAAACTTTAAGAAATGTGGAATCCAACAAATACCTTGGTCTTATCTTCACAGACGGAAATTACATTTGTCATTTGGGTATCAACTGCACCATTTTGAAATCATAGTTGTACCTATTCTTTTTCACACCAGCGCAAAATGGGGATTTGAAAAAAAATCTATTACAGAAATTATTCAACTTCGTTTTAGTAAAAACCTTACGTCACTAAGAAGAGTACACCAAAGTTTATGACATATGGGGAACGTGGAAGATCTCATCTCTTTGAGGGGCGGTGGAGTAGCCTAATGGTTTAAGCGTCCGCTCGTCACGCTGAAGATTCGGGTTCGATTCCCCACATGGGTAGTATGTATGAAGCCGTCGTTGTATTGCTGGAATATTGCTATATGCGCCGTAAAAGCATACTCACTCACTCATTCATCTCTTTGATGTCAGAATCAAAATGGTATCTTTTGGGACTAGAATTCTCACTGGGAAGACATCAAACTTATCTCGTATTATGTATACATTACTTTTTTAATCATATATGATACTCTAATGGGAACATGGGAAAATAAATGGATGTCATTCATGAAACGAATGTTTGACGAACACGGCCTCCAGACCACATGGATATCACAACATATTCAAAATATCACGAATATCTTAACTTAAAAGCTAAACAAAATTATATCCACTGACAATCCATACATTCAAGAGATATACCTTCCAAATATTCCAAGTATAGAACTTAAACTGATTGTTTAATTTTTGAAAACAATTAAAATACATGTAATACAGTTGATGATTATACTTTAGTTATCTAGTGAACATCCAGTCAGAATTTACGGGTTGAAACAGGCAGATGGAGGAACATACCATTCACTGGAAGAAAATGCTAACTTTGTTAATTGTGGGACATAGGTGATGAATTTCACTATGCTTGTAGGCGCCCATGATTTGAAAGATGGAGAGAAAACAGCCTTTTCATAAATAGTGTTACATTCACACGTCTAGCATTCATTTATTCTTTAATAGCCGTCGATTAAGGCCCCTCGGTGTGGTCACTGGAGCAGAAACCATGTCCCGGAATAAGTGGGGCAGAGTCGGCTCGAGCGTTATGAGCTGTTCTTTGCCAATAGTACTTCAGGACGGTTGCCTTCTGTTCCCTTAACGCAGTTGGATTCGTCTTCGAAGAACTTGGTGAGTTGTACTCGTTGCATCCTTTTCCTTTTATAAATGGTTGATAGTTGTTGTGACCACATATCTTGTAACTGCTATTTAGAAATTAACAATTTGCAGTGAGTTGAAGTTTGAATAAGTTTATATGAACTTAATCACAAGTGGAGGGAGCACGCGAGACCAAGACCTGAATCAGTGTATAAAGTATCCCAAAACGAGCTGAATTCGACGTTCCGACGTTCAACGCTATTTTTGTATCATGAAAGACTTGATATTATTGTGTGAAATAGATGACTATATCCTTTATCACTCAAGATTAGTAAAATAAAAAAATTAAATGATACTAAAGATAAAAAATTCTGTTTTGTCTTACATGGTAGAAAATCCCTGACACCGGGATACATGAAAGTCTGTACCCACAAAGGATGGGTGAAAATTACTTTTTTTGCAGTAAGTTGAAGTTCGATTGAGATCATGTGAAAGTTATCACACAAGTAGAGGGGTCACGTGAGAACAAGACTGAGTCAGAGTATAAAGTATATAGCACCCGTGGAGATCCTGGTAAGAAGTGATCTTCAGTAACCTATGCTTATCGTAAGAGGCAATTAACAGGATCGGGTGGTCAGGCTCCCTGACTTGGTTGACACATGTCATCGCATCCGAGTTGCGTAGATCGATGCTCATGTTTTTGATCACAGGGTTGTCTGGCTCCGACTCGGTTATTTAGAGACCGCTGCCATATAGCTGGAATATTGCTGAGTGCGGTGTGAAACTAAACTCACTTACTATAAAGTATATAAAAATATGTACCCACAAATGATGGGTGAAAACAAGCAACCGGCACCTTCTGTTGAAAGATTAATGAAAATACATCCCTAAGACATTAGAAAATTAAAACATATTCAAGATTTAACATTGCGGATATTTTTGTTATTGCTTCGTTGCTGTCGTTACCATTCAGTACATAATTGAGACGAGAACACATGATTCGTGAGACAGAACACATATATTCTTCATACATTAAGACAATAAAGAAAATTGCTAGAGGGATGATGGATGGATCCCGGTATCTTTCTATCTCGACACAAACAGGAGGTCTTACCACGACATAGTTTCCAACGAATCAGAACGTTGCATTGGGACATATGACCAAAGCCTTGAAAAAAGGCTTAAAGGCCGGAGTGCACTCTTAAACAAATCCCATAGGTTTCCAATTAGTCTCCCATTGACTACTCCTCAGCAGTGTAGAAGTTATCTATCCATCGGTGACAAGACTGTGACGGTTATGCGTGCCTGGCAAGTGCCTGGCGATGTCAACAGTCGTAAGAGGCGACTAACGGGTTCGGGTGGTCAGGCTCTCTGGCTTGGTTGACACATGTCGTCGGTTCCCAATTGCGCAGATCGATGCTCATGCTGTTGATCACTGGATTGTCTGGTCCAGACTCGATTATTTACAGACCGCTGCCATATAGCTGGAATATTGCTGAGTGCGGCGTAAAACTAAACTCAGTCACTCACTTCATTACGGACTGATTCTCGGTTAACGGGTTAACTCACTCACTATAAAGTATATAGAAATATGTACCCACAAATGATGGGTGAAAACAAGCAACCTTCTGTTGAAAGATGTAAAAGGCATAAAACTAAATTCAGTCACTCACTCATAAAGCAAGTGGTCCACCAGGATGTGAAGAGCGAGAAATGGTGGTGATATTAGGATATCGAAACTCTCAATTAACAGTTGTTGTTTTCTGAATCTGATATATGTGTCTATCAGATGTCCCTGAAGATAATACAAGTAACATGCACAACAAGAGCATTGCTTTGGTTAGCGTCTTATCACACTTTACTTTAAAAAAGTATACTATTCGCACTTTGCTAAGGATCAAATCATGAATTCAACAGAAAACTATTATGTGGAGTCAAATTTGGTTTAAATATCTAAGCTTATTGTAAGCATGGATCCAAGGTTTCAGCATGTCATTGCATCTTGTGGATCCCATACTTGATATTGACAGGTGTTAATGATTCGTTCCATGAGTTGCAAAATGGTTGATTGGTGCCATCGTTTATCAAGTGCATAAGGTTAGCTTAAAGTGACTATTTGCCTAATGAGGGGTTATCATATTATTATTGATCCAGTTTTAAATGGATACCATTTCAAATTATAAATCTACGTTAAGTAAAGTTTTGAATTTTGTGATCCTTAGCAAAGTGTGAGTAGTATATGTTAGTCCTGTTTATCGGGGGCTCCTGTAACTTGCAAGGACATGTCCTAAGACGATTCATATAGACGATTTACTCCACACGCAGTTTAGATTACAGGTCTCACGTTTCGGTTGGGGTAAAATGTCTGCAAGTTACATGACTTAGGATTTCGGCTAGCGCCCTTTGGTTGGTCGTGCTGTGAGCATTCGGGACCTGATTGGGGATTTCAAAAGGTTTTGTTTTTGACGTGATTAGGGAATTTCCCGATTTGACGTACCAGTTACAAACATGTTGTTCCATGCAATTCCCTATTTTGAGTTGTACCACGTGTCCTCGTGGTTATTTTGTCGGGTACATAGTTGGCTTGCCATTGAAAGTGTTTCTAGCGTGTGGGTCAGGGTGACCTCGACTTTCCAGTCATCACTGTTTCTGTTTCATTCCTGAAAGGTTGAAAACCTGCAGTCTGGCAGATCTATTATGGTAATGGAAAGTTATGGAAAACATGTTGTTGCTTTTGGTATCTGCTGAACATTAGTTTTCAACAAGATTGCATTTCTAACCGAGACTATTGTGGTGATCCTATTCATTACGGTTCCGCCTCATAGACAATAACAAAAGCAACACAAAAATTACGCTCGATTTTATGAAAATTCCGTACATAAGCTCGTAAACGTAAATATATATGATGTTTAAAGAAAGACAGGAATTGTGTAGGGATGTTTAAGAAAGTCACAGACGTCCATGATTCAAATCTTCAACAGAAAAGACTTGATGTCCTAAAGATATTTTGTTCTGAGAATTGTTTGACGGTAAATATGGAAAAAACAAAGGTAATAGTTTTTAAAAAAGGTGGAAGACTGTCGAAGTATGAAAAATGCTTCTTTGATGCTGTACAAATAGAATGTGTTTCCTGGTACAAATATCTAGGTATTTTATTCAGTAGGACATTAGTATGGACCAAGCACATAGAAAATGTATGTCTGCAGGCTAAGCAAGTTTTATTTGGTATTTTTAGATCACTGTCAATGTTTAAGCCATTACCTTTTCACCTGGGCCGCCTTTGTTAGGTGAGGGCCATCTTGCTTGGCTTAGCAACGGCGGCCCTGTGTGGCCGCCGTCGCTAGGTTAAGACCACCATCTTGTTTAACTTAGCAACACATTCAAGTCCCAGTCAAAACCAATCCCCTACCTACATGCATACATACATCAAGTATACTTTTAAAATAAAGGTAACGGGTCTCGGCTGGAGGCACATCGAAGGATGGCTCGGGCTACACCTTCGCTTTTTTTAAGGGGGCTGGGGGGACTATGATCCCATAAATAAGCCTCTAAGCCACATCTGCCGCAAAAACCCCACCATATAACTACTTGCCCATATTTAGGATAAGTCACATGCATGTGGTCCCCTTTTGGCAAGACAATGACAAGTCACAAAATCATGGCAGGACACATGCTATCTGATGAAGATGTTTTGAGATGATGAATGGACCCATGTTCCCAATTATGAAGAAACTTCTCCTGGGTCTGATTCTGATATTTCTTGACATTTAAGTGTTAAAAATGTTACTTTTTCACTTTTTTATTATTTCGAGTGGGTTATCATGTACTTGCCAAACTGACCAGTTCATGAATTTTGATATTCCACCATCAACCCAATTTGAAACGACGTTCATGTAAATTCTTCTATTATGAGTAAACAGATTCATGTGCACTTAGAAACACATTACTTAAAGGTATGTATGCTCTGGATAGCACTGGAGCTGAGATATACAACACAATATGGGTTATATTTTTGGTTCAAATATAATGCCACATTTTGAGGGATGTCATTTTAAACCCACATCCATCTGTGAAAGTGATCTCATTCTTTTTGATTATTTTTTTATTACAAAAACTAACTAACCCTAAATACACATGTAGCAAATATTATCTCACGCATCGCGCGTGGCACGTGCAGTTTGTGCACAATGAACTTATTCACTTTTTGCATGTTTTTTGACACCTGAAGTTCACACATCTGATATTGAAAATTGAAGAACGGTTGATTATTCTCTTGACTCTGAATGTTGTGGAAAACACGTTAATTTCAACCTAAAATTGCGCGTATGTCATGTCACGGCTTACAGAAAATCAGCGTCTCTGCGCTGCGGGTAGGCTAGATACTGGAATGAATGGCCCAAAATCAGTGTATGAAATAAGGCCCGTCCGACCCCCCTAGACGGGCTAGATTTCTGACGGGCGGTCTAAATTTACAGGTAGCCAGCCCGACGGTCTGGTGCAAACTTTAGATGTTCCGTACATCTGAGTGAATTCCTGGTGTCTGGTCTGGTTAAACTGACTGACTGGGTATGGTTTTACGCCGTTTTTAGCAATATTCCAACAATATCACGGCGGGGGACACTAAAAATGGGCTTCACAAATTGTACCCATGTGGGGAATCGAACCTGGACCTTTGGCGTGAGGGGCGAACGCTTTAACCACTAGGCTACCCCACCGCGCCTCTGGTCTGGTTAAAGCCATTTTGGGCTGGTAACATTTTGAAGTTACCAGCCCTGATGTCTGGCTGGGTTTTTGGCTTATTTCATACACTGCCAAAATGTAGTGGCCAGACATTTTGGTGTCCATCTAAACACGATCTCTAAGGAGACGTTTTCAACATAATGGGAACACGCGTGGCGTCACGTCAGCAAGACAACCACATTTGGCTGACCCATCTAATTAAGGAACCAGTTCCAGACTGCCAGATTGACTGCATGGACTATTCCTGGCTTACGTCCAATCAGTTCCAGGACTGTACGTCCAATTTTGCTCCAACGTTACCGACAGGCACGCTTGATTGAGGCAAGATTGAGATGGTGTTTTGTTCACTGACGAGTCGAGATTTCATTTAGACAGCTCAGAGGGCAGTGCAAGGGTGTATAGACGACGAGGTGAACGGTATGCTGACACGTGCGTTGTTCAACGTCGGCCGGTGGTGTAAGCGTTATGATATGGGGTAGGGGGGCACCACATCCCATGCTCGGACACAATCTGTCATTGTCAATGGCAATCTGACAGGTCTGTGACACAGGCATGAGATCATCGGGTCTCATGTGCAGCCGTTCATGCAGCCCGTCCACATGTCGCTCGTGTTGAGACAAATTTCCTGAGACAGCAGAACATTCCAGTACTTCCCTGGCCAGCTGTTTCTCCGGACCTGTTCCCCTATCAAGGGATGAAATGGAGTGACGTTTACGCCACGCCCAGAATCAGCCATTAACGTTAGCTGAATTGGGACAAGCATTGGTTCAGACATGGAACAACATTCCCCAAGCTTTCTTCAATCGCTTAGTGTTGTCTATGCATCGTCATTGTCAAGTCTGCATGAACGCCAATGGTGTACACACACGATACTGAATTTGTGAACTGACTTTTTTGACACCACATCTCTTCAAGGGCGCGTCACGATGCCTTATGTCAAATCATACAGATTTCGATATTATCCTGTCAACAGTTAAACAGTGATTAAGGAAAACACCACAAATCATGTTATTACCTCTTTGCATTAAAAAATGACATAACGTTACTTTCTTCCACTAGTATATTTATTTCCTTTAGAACGACACAGTCATCAATTTCCTTATTAGTGTGAATCTGATGTGGATTAACACAAATACAAATATCGACCTTTGAGCAAGAGTAGGACAAACTTGTTTTGGCATGACAATCCAGTGATCAACAGCATGAGCATCGATCTGCGCAATTGGGAACCGATGACATGTGTCAACCAAGTCAGCAAGCCTGACCACCCGATCCCGTTAGTCGCCTCTTACGACAAGCATAGTCGCCTTTTGTGGCAAGCATGAGTTGCTGAAGACCTATTTTACCCCGGATCTTCACGGGTCGAAATACTTTGATGACCCCTGCCACCTCCTATGGTTCTTCCAATCAACACGCATGACTGCTTCGCCGCTCTTAATAATAGGGTGGTGGCAAAACGAGGAGACCCCGTTCTTCAATAGCCGTCGATAAGGCCCCTCGGTGTGGTCACTAGAGCAGAAACCCTGTCGCCGAGAGAGTCGGGTCGGGGGTTTTGACCTGTTCTTTGCTCATAATACTTCAGAACGGTTGCCTCCTGTCCCCGTAACACGTACACATTTGGATTCGTCCTCGAAGAACTTGGTGAGTTGTACTCGTTGCATCCTTTTCTTTTTATAAATGGTTGATAGATGTTGTGACCATATATCTTGTTATTGCTATTTAGAAATTAAAATTTACATGTAAGCTGAAGTTTGATTAAGATTATATGAAATTAATCACAAGTGGAGGGAGCATGCGAGAACGAGACCTGAGTCAGTGTATAAAAAGTATCCCAAAACGAGCTGAATTCGACGTTCTGGCTCGAGGTATATAGGGAGAGTACGTGCGCGATCAGAGTGCACAAGCAGCTTCATAGGTAGTTTAAACACTACTTTTGTATGAAACACTTGATATTTTGTTTGAAATAGATGAATATATATCCTTTATCGCTCAAGATTAGTAAAATAAAAACTTTAAATAATATTAAAGAAAAAAATTCTGTTTTTGAAAACTCCAGACACCGGGATATATAAAAGTCTGTACCCACAAAGGATGGGTGAAAATTTTATTTTTTTGCAGTAAGTTGAGTGTCGATTAAGATCATGTGAAAGTTATCACACAAGTAGAGGGGTCACGCGAGAACAAGACTGACAAGAGTCAGAGTATAAAGTTTATAGCACCCGTGAAGGTCTTGATCTTCAGTAACCCATGCTTGTCGTAAGAGGCGATTAACGGGATCGGGTGGTCAGGCTAGCTGACTTGGTTGACACATGTCATTGTATCCCAGTTGCGTTGATCGATGCTCATGTTGTTGATTACCGGATTGTCTGGCCCAGACTCTGTTATTTACAGACCGCTGCAAAATAAACATGTGCCTTATAGTCCAAGAACCCTTTCACGACATATTTATAAATAAATGTTTGGATGAGCCTTGCCGACGTATTTCTTCAGGCGTGAATGCCACCCTTCTAGGTGGTTGTTTGTTCTTGGCCCATCTGTGTTGTGGTGGTTCCATTGCGTCATGTGCAGATCTCCCTCCACCCAGAAGTTGGCCATGTAGTCTCCGAGTTGTCGGCAGCGGTCTTCATCAGTCTTTTGCAGTACATATCCATGATATCCAGTCTCGTTTTCTCTTGCTGACTCTGTACATGAACCCGCCAACAACCAAGTAACGACTGCCGCGAGCTGTAGGGATGAATCCCTGATCGAGCTGTGCATTTGCCATTTCGAAATCGAATGTGAATCCTTTGGCCATTCCATAGATATCTATACCAAAGATATGAACAGTGTTCAATATTGGCACTCTGCTAAGTGTTATTGTAAACTTTTCAATCAATTGGAAGTGATATGTGCGACGAGTTCACCTTATCAAAAAATCTAGAGTAGATTATCCGCAACGCTATTTAAGCCTAATCAGAACCTAACCTTCAAAGGAAACCGCAGGTCGGCGTCCTGAGACTAGTGGAAAATCGAAAGGTCGGCGTCCTGAGACGACACCATTTTCACAGCCTGCCTGAATGAAACTTTCCCCCCACTCACAGGCTTGTTTCTGTGGAAACGCACCTACTCTGGCCACCTAACTGATACAGTAGGAAATTCAAATCTGGACTTTAAAAAGAGAAATATATTATAAAATGTGTGTTTTGTTGACTGTCTGCATCCATACTTTTTGCCGTGATTATTCATAACATACTTCTGTGTACTGTGCCTTAATATCATCATAAACCGTAAGTCCATTTTGTGATATTTCTTGGAATATACTTGAATACTGCTTTGCTTTGCATGGAAAGACAGCTTTGTCCAGGCAACGTGGCCATACCCCCATGTGTGTGTGTGTATAGGTCTGAACCCCCGCCTTTTAAACAGATGTAAGTTGGTACGGGTTAGAGAGTCAACAGATCCAATGCAACCTGGGACCCATTTCACAAAGCGATCGTAGCGCTAAGGTGATCGTAAGTCCCATACTTTAACACAGACTCACGACAGTCGATCGCTACGATCGCTTTGTGAAACGGGGCCCGGGTTGTTCTCCTGAGCTCCCCAGCTCCCCATTCTCTGACAAACGTGTATAGCTTGAGTTGGGTTAATCCTTGAATGAATCATGTATTTGGACAGTCAGGCGTCACGGTATACCGACCCCTTACTCTTCTCCGAACAAGGTGAATGTAGGTCATGGCTTACAATGACAATAAAGTGGAGCGGCAATATGTGTGTAGTCAACTGGTGTAGGGTTAGCATCTCATACAATTTTGATCAAACTTCAAGTTGCAGGTAAATCTCGTTTGATAGATAATTTCATTCTAACCAATCACGTTGTGAATCGTAATCACGTGAGATTATAAACCTTGTAGGGTATTAACAACAGGAAAATACACAGGATAAAACAAACTGTTTTAATGTTTAAAATTCTAAGTAACCTAATAAGAACATACCTATTCAACGTAGCTATACCTTCCTAGCTGTCACAATGGGTCCCCACCAACTGTCACTTGAACATAAGAATTTAAACGCTTATTAATATAGCAAGCACATGCAAAGACAAGTAATTTTTTCACATAAAAACAAACCCCATTGAAACCCTTTCGCATATTGATTCCCAGTTGTTGTTTATATTTTTGACATTGTCCTGCATTTCTGCAGAAGGACATGTTACAATACCTATGGTGACTACCTTAAATTAGTTTGCAAATGCACCATCAAGTGACGCCAAACCATAGAGCAATGAGGGCATGCCCCTTATATTAAAATTTTCTATTTGAAGTAGAAATAGTTCCATACATTCAAGGGGCGGTGGGGTAGCCTAGTGGTTAAAGCATTGGCTCGCCATGCCGAAGACCCGGGTTCGAATCCCCACATGGGTACAATGTGTGAAGCCCATTTCTGGTGTCCCCCGCAGTGATGTTGCTGGAATATTGCTAAAAGCGTCGTAAAACCAAACTCAGTCAGTCAGTCCATACATTCAAGGTTTCTTGTGCAAAAAAGGGTTGTAGATCTTTCACAAATATTTTCATCAATTTGAAACATACCATTTCTAAATTTTGAATCAAGAACGTGAAATATGCCTAATAGTGTGTACTAAATACCAGTATTGTTCAATTTATTTTATTTTTTTTCATTCGATTATATAAATAACAATGCATTTGCTTCAAACCGTTTATGATGGTAAAATATATGTCATAACAAATTTGATACGTCATTTGAATATCATACATCTTAGCAGGACATGGCCGGACGTCACACAGATGCAAGGTTTGAATATGGCAGCAGGAAAAAGCTGACACCACAAGATATCGCAGACATGTTCAACGACTATGCTGAAGACTATGAACAGGTAACAGAGGAATTCATTTTTCGAAATCCCTATCAGTCAGGATATTGTTTACATTACTTATGATCATGACTCAAAAGTATTTTAATCAAGGTTACGTCAGTCAAGGACCTGTGAAGATCCTGGATAGAATTTGTTTTCAGCAACCAATGCTTTTCGTACGTGATTGTACTCAAAAGGTATGACATGTAGACACCAATGACCTCACATGCTTGAATATTAATCGGAACAGCAAAAAATGACGTTTGGACAAGTTCAAGTCATAACTCTTTTGCCTTGAAGGGCGCGTATAGTCACTTTCATAACTTGACAAATGTGTTGACGGTGTTCTGTACTTGCTGATGTCTTGTTACATTCTGCAGGAATATTTGAACATCGGTTTGAGATCTCACATAGTTGTCGGAGATTTCATGGCTAAGACTGTCCCAGAAGAAGATAGATCAAAAGTGAAAGTCTTGGACGTTGGTGCTGGCACAGGACTTCTTGGAAATGAGGTAAATCCAGTTGGTATGGGCTATATCAACTAATCTGGTACTAAGAAAAAAGATGGGAATATTTGTTTTGTTTTACTTTGGCAGCGTTTACTGTTTTCATAAATATTAAACAGTAAAACTGCCCTCGACATTCAACCGTAGTATGTATGAATATTGATCAAGTACAGTATATCCAGAGTGTAGAGCAATATCGTCTAAATGTCACTTTAATTATTGTGTCTTTTTTTGAAAGTTGTTATTTGATCATGGACGTTTACTGAATATTTTGCTCTTGGAAAGGTCATTAACAATTTGGTATATTTCACCTTTTTCTCAATTTGTTCAATGGTGCATCATTTGCATGTCGAAGATTTGGTGAAGACAGGACTGCCTATTTATTTAACGCTATTTATTCCTTGTCCCTGTCGTGTGATCTCTTAATAATATTCCTTCCCAAAATACCTGTATCTGACCTAAATATTTCCAGTTAAAGAATCTCGGGTTCACACACATCGACGCATTGGATCCAGCAGAAAAGATGCTGGATGTTTCAAGACGTCGTAACATCTACCAAAGACTGATCTGTGCCTTCATGAATAAGAACAGGAACGATGATATTGACACGGGTGAGAATCAAATTACACATTCTGTGATACCATCACTGCCACAGTAGAATGTATTGTGGAATATTTCTGTAAAAAAACGACCCGTGAAGATCTTGGTTAGGAATAGCCTCCAGCAACCCATGATTGTCGTAAGAGGCGACTAACGTTATCGGGTGGTTAAGGTCGCTGACTTGGTTGACACATGTCATCGTATCCCAAATTGCGTAGATCGGTGATCATGCTGTTGATCACTGGATTGTCTGTGTATGATCTAGAGTGCACAAACTCATTTTCTCGTGTACATGTGCTGCCAGGTTTGAACGAAAAGGTCCGTGCTCAAGGCAGGCTACTCCAAACTCAAAAGTTAAATGCATACCGCTAAAGAAAACAAAGCAGAAATACAGCTGTTAATGTAAAGGCCTGATTTTGGCCTTTACAGTCTGATTATTTACCAAACCAAACAAATCTTAACATAACCATTAGACGTTGATTAGTCACATAACGTAATTTTATACCATGTGTTTTATCAAACTTGAAATGTGCTACGTTTTTTAAGCACTCAAATGTGCATGAAGTCATCGACTCTTTGATGAACGTTGGGTGGGTGACCCTTTGGATTTACTACCCCGAATGTATTTCTCGAACTGTCAGTGCCACAGCCATTCTTTTTGGTTTCAGCGAAGTGGTGAGCACCTGACACCGATGTTTTTTTAGGCCTTCCTCCAACATCAATCTGAACCACCGTGATATATCTGAAATACTGTTCAAAGTGGTGTTGAATCGCCCTCGCTAACTCACTCACTAAGCCGGTTCAGATCGGTGCCAAATCAGTTTCCCTGGACACTCATTTACCCTCTCATAGAGCTTGTCTTGATCACCGCTGTTTGTCTAAAAAAACCGACTAACGGGGTCCGATAGCCAAGCACTGACCTTTGCTAATGCATGTCAGTGCGTACCAATTACGGAGGTCAATGAAATGTCTGGCCAAGACTAGAGTATTTACTAGGGCTGTAACGATGCATCGAACTATCGATGGATTGCAATTGTTGAGTCTCCGATAGCAATTAATCGATGGCAGAAACAAAAAACTATCGATGCATCGATAGTATGTGTGACTATCGATAGTTTAGTAACTGACTTCCGTTGAAATACAGCATGTTTGGATGCAGACTTGCAGCTTTATTGAGTTTGCTTTAAGTAATTACTTGATTTGGCTTCAAGTTTCTTGTCAGTTATTAAAAGAGACTGAAACTACTTCAACTTTGTTTTTATTTCATATAAACTATACATTCATTTTGGAAATGACTTAAAGTGAGACAATTCAAGGAGAAAAACTATTGCAATAGTATTGCAATAGTTGGTCTCAATAGACTATCGTTATCGCAATGGTATGTTGCAATACACTATCGCTATCGCAATAGTTGTTTCCCCCTTCATAGTCACTCCAAGTATTTACAGACCACATAATACAGATACACTGTCGCTGAGTAAGTCATTAAACAGCATACACATATTCGCACTTTCACCCTCGACCACCTTCACTGCGGATCTATTTGTAATTGTTTCCAGTCAAATCACCAAGATGAACAGTGCTTCCCGTCATTAATAAGGTATTTTCAAGATGATGCCCTACCCACGGACAAGTATATGTGTAATATCCTTATGTAGCGCTGAAATATTGATGTAAAGTGGGATATATTTTTCTTGAATAGTGTGTTTATATTTTTTAGATTACTATGACTACATTGTGGCATCGGCAGCCTTTAATGAAGGTCTTGTTCCCAGTGAGGCCTTCCAGGAAATGATACGGATCGTGAAACCAGGTGATGATCTTACTTGAATTTGACTTTACACATAAAATGTAAGACTTTTGTTTTCTACAGTATGAATTTGAAGTGTTATTATCGTAGCCAGAACACATCACTATAAAACCATGTATTAACATTCTGAATAGTTTCAGGATTCGGTTTTGTGCCTGAAAAGTCTGTTAAATCTGGGGGGAAATGTAAAGTATTTTCAAATTATCAAATCCTAATGAATGCACGATTAGCTTTCTTGAATTTTTAGAGCGAGTGAGTTCAGTTTTACTCCGCACTCAGCAATAATCCAGCTATATGGTGGCGGCCTATAAATAATCGAGTCTAGAAAACACAATCCAGGGATCAACAGCATCAACATCGATCTGCGCAATTGGGATACGATGACATGCGTCAACCTAGTCAGCGAGCCTGGCCACCCGATCCCGTTAGTCGCCTCTTACGACAAACATGGGTTGCTGAAGACCAATTCTAACCCGGAACTTCACGGGTTGAATTTTGAGAAATATGGAATATATGTCTTTTCCATTCGGTCTTCACCAAAGCATGCTTGTCGTAAGCGGCGACAATTTGGATAGGGTGTTCAGACTCGCTGCCTTGGTTTATGCATGTCATGGTATGTCAGTTGCATAGAACAATGCTCATCATGTCAATCACTGGATTGCTGTTCCAGACTCGATTATTCACCTACCGCTGTCTTGTATTTGGAATAATACTAAGTAAGACCTTAAATAACAAACAAACCTTCACCAACTAAATAACTCAATTTATTGATATTTTACAGGTGGTCGAATAACTTTCACCGTCCCAACCAAGTTCATCAACAACTCAGACGACTTACGGAACCGGTTACGTCCCCTTATAGACCAGATGGCACGAGAGGGCGTGTGGGAGGTCACTTCCGTTGCACTCGAAGATGGAGAACTTTCTTACACTCACGGTCCAGGAACTATGTTTAGTTTGAAAGTTCTGGTGTCAGAAAAGATATTTTGAGTATTTAGGAAAGACATTTCCGTATTTCAGACTTGTCACTTTCTCCAGTCTAAAGTTAACAGTGTCAGTATGAACAATATCCACACAGGGAACACTAATCAGACGTTTCCAGTAGATATAGAGGTTTTAATCATTTAAATCTAGAAATGTAGACACTTATTACGTATTTGCTTTTGTTACTATATATGCAGTACTGATGACAAGTAGAAGGTAAAATATACAAGTAAATACGCTACATAATTCAACACTGTGTATTAAATTGAATGGGAATCCATCGCACTCACTGATAAAAAAAAAGGTTTGTGATTGAATGTTGATTTTGGTCGCGCTGACCAGAAATAGATTTGTGTGATTTTTATGATTCACAATGATGTCAAGTTGTCACGAGGTCAATGATGTTAGCATAGTCCATTACTTGCGGCATGTGTTCACATGACTTCTTTTGATACCAGCCTCTTAACAAACAATATGCAACGATTATTATCATGCTAAGTAAGTATTTCTGACAATTAATTGTTCCCACATCCGTGTCCTTACGGACAAGTTTTCAACACCATGACTGGTCAAAGTCAAATTTATTTCACCTGTGTATCAAAAATTGATAGTTTTTCAATAAATGCTTCAAACAATTCTTATTCTTTTTTCTTTCATGTTTTGTAACTTCTTGAGTAATGTGGGGCGGTGGGGTAACCTAGGGGTTAAAGCGTTCGCTCGTCACGTCCGGGTTCGATTCCCCACATAGGTTCAATGTGTGAACCTTTCTGGTGCCCCCCGCAGTGATGTTGCCGGAATATTGATAAAAGCGGCGTAAAAACATACTCATTCACTCTTGACTGATGAATACACAATGTCAAATACAACATGTGGAATATTGGGATTATACATTCCCACTAAAGAACAGATTCTTGAAATTTGGGGATTGGGTCCATCCGGGATTCGAACCCACATCAACCTAATCGCAAGCACACAAAGTCAACGATCTAACCCACTCAGCGTCCATTGAATTGGTGTTTTCGTTAACTGAAGTGTAAACTTACGCTCGTGTATCTGAACATATCTTGTCTGTCCGCTCTTCGCTGGCTAATTCCGACGAGGAAGCGGAATCAGCTTGGCTGCACCATGTCTTGGTGGGAGGTGACCATATATTTACGTTTCGGTCATTATCAGTATCTCTTGTGTAAGACTGAGGGGCTACAACATATATTGCATATATAAGGAAGGCTTATAAATATAAATTAATAATAGGAATCCTTTCACAGATGCCTTGATCGGGGAAACCCCAGAAACTTGACCCTTAAAACATAATTTGTTCCCACAAGATAGTCATAGAATACAAGCATCAGAACTGTGTCCAAGAGGAAATGGTTTTGTTGCTCTCATTGACAGTGCGTGGAAATGATGGTAAAACATCTGATGAACTAGCTGGTTTTCGATATGGGTATTCCATACCAGACAACATAGTTGAATGCGTTCCAAAAATACATGTCTGAATGAAAAGAAACATTTTATGTTACCTTCATTGATTTTAAGAGAGTGTTTTCTAGAAAGTGGTCCTCCAAGTACGACATTTCAAGCAATAAAGTAAATGTACCACAGTTTAAAGTGATAAGAACTGGTCTTAGAACTGGTCTTCAGCAACCCATGCTTGCCGTAAGGGGTGACTAGCGGGATCGGGTGGTCAGGCTGGCTGACTCGGTTAACCATGTCATCGTATCCCATTTATGTACATCGATGTTCATGCTGTTGATCCCTGGAGTGGTCAGATTGTCTGGTCCAGGCTCGATTATTTATAGACCGCCGCCATATAGCTGGAATATTGCTGAATACCACACCAAACCAAAAATCCAGGGCAAAGCCCGAGGCATTGATAACTAATATAATCTAACATTTATAAACTGCTTCTACAAGATCCATCATGAATTATAAAGCTGTCATCAAATTGAAGACAGATCAGTGTTCTATTCTGTTGGCGGAGGCTTTACTGATCCCCTTCCCACTTTGATTATGAAACAACATTTTAATATATCTCGTGCCTTCCAGTGCATGTTTTAAAGTAAATATAATACACTAATACCAAGGAACTGTATAGCGGTGCCATCTCACTCTAGTTCTTTATGTGGTCTATATTTTCTGCAAACATGAATTGAACTAGTTTTGGTTTTCGATAATTTAAATCCATTTATGAGTTTTATTTAGACGTAATTGCAGTTACCATTCGATAGTATGCATGTTTTACTATGACAAGAGACATTATAATCATCCACAAAGAGCGATCAATCAATCGAATCGTTTAAAAACCTTTGGCAAACTAGACATTTTAATGCTAAATAATTTGACCGACAAAATACCTCTGTGTGGGACATCCCGATCTGATTGTAATTATCACGTAGGATCGAACCTACGTCCACTACGCTCATTTACAAACTTGGATATAAATTGAGGCAAACGGCCTCGCAATCGTAAATATTTTATAATCCCGTATGTCCAAGTACTGTCGTATGCTTTTTCTAAATAAAAAAGACAGACACTGCCTCTTGTTATTTTTCTATAATGGCATTTTGACAAATGACTCTAAAGGCACTAAATGATCAAAGGTACTTCTGTTTTTACGGAAACCACATTGTCAGTAAGCTCGTTAGTGAAAATGGTCGATAATTTGAGGGATCGCTTGTATGTATGATCACTTTCAGATCTAGGTATTGGGACAATTATAGCATCACGCCACAAAGATGGACATTTGCCTGACGTCCGAATGTCATCAAAAATATTTTGCGGGGTCTCAGAACATGATCCTTGTAAGTGCTTCATGAATTGATAATATATATTATCAGCTCCTGATACAGTAGCGTGCTTTTGTCAATGAGCAGTATAAAGTCAATGCATAGATTTTGAATAAATGAATTAATTTTGTATTTATTCAATTAATGCTCAGTTTTTTTCCCTGCCTTCCTATCGTGTTTCCAGTCATCGTTAAAATATGGTTTTCGTATGTGTGGAACTGCAGAGGACTAAATAGGTTTATGTGCAGGATGTTTTGAACCAACATTATATATATGCATAGATCATTATCTGAAAAGGAACTCGAGTTTTTTACCTTCAAGATTTGTAGTGTGGGCTGTAGCAATTTGAATCACATATAGTAATACAGGATTTTGGGAGTTGGGTGAAGATCGGGGAGTTTCAAAGTGAATATAAAAACAGCATGATGTAAAACTAACGTCTCGCACAGCAACAGCTTGGAGATTCGTAGAAACTGTAACGTGGCTATGGATAGCATTCTGATTAACAAGGACTGAAGATGATCACCCAGTGGTCCTGTCACCTCGAGGTGAAAAACTGATAATATGCATTGAAATGTGGTCAAAAGTATCTGTCTGTTTTAGATATGTTTCCTGCAGACAGAATACTATTGGTTTGAAATCCATGACAAATAGCTGTAATTTATTGAAATTTGTCCTTAGTCCTCTACACACTTCTACTGAACAATATGATTTGAACAACACACCTTTAAGTGGATCAATTGAAGGTCTTCACGGCATATTTTTCGTGGGTGCTAGATATGTACCCTAGAAAGGACGTTTTCAGACACATCCATGTCGTCAAGTAATCCATATTTGTTAATAAATAGTTTAATTTCTATTTTCTTACCCTTTTGGGGCTCTGTCACTTTGGGTTTTTGTAAGAATCTCATACTCAGATGATGTATTCCAGCAGAAAAACTAAAAGATTACCTTTCCCGCCCGATTAGCACATGAGCCACCGCCTTCTGGGCTTATGACTAGAGGCAAATAACGAAAATGAAAGGATGCATTCGAAATTCCAATGTCACAAATCATTTGGCAAAGACTGAAAATCATGTAGTCATTTTTAATTTGCCATAACCAACCGATTGATAGCACCGGGCCCATAGGTGAAGTAAGGGTCGAAGTGTACTGGGCAAAGGAACGCTATTCCAGGAACCAGTGCCATCAACCACCGGAATTCCGTCCTCCACCAACAAATCGGTGCAATCCATAAGAAACAGGTACTCAATTTGGTCACCTCTTACGACCAGCAATGGGGTCTTCGGAAAAATTCCGCCCCAGGTCCATACGGAGGAAGAACGATAAGCGTTACCCAGCACTCAACACGAGTTGGCTGCTCTTCAATCGCTAAATAGTTCTGCATCTTTAGGAGTTAGATTGTGATAAAAGCAGACCACCGTATTGTTTTCCTGGTAATTAGGATTACAATACGATTGACACACCCCTCGAAACTCACCTGTTAAATGATCTTGATATGTGTAGCTCCAATTCGCTTTCGTTCACGCATAAATAACGGGGTGGTTTTGTCTGTCACAAGGACAGGTTTGTCCCAAATATCACGGATTTCATCGTAATTTGCCAGTAGGTTATTTATGAAATGCTAAGCTGCTTTCAAGGGTATCAAACACATCTCAAAGTATTATTTTGTAAACGAAAGTACATAGCAAGTGAATTTGAATGAGTTTGCTGACCCACAGTCATTCTGTTTCACACACAGTCATCCACAGGATCAAGAACACATTCACACTGCACATGGACGACACATGACACCTATTTGAGTGAGTGTGTGAGTGAGTGAGTACAGTTTTACGCACTATCGCGGTGGGGGACAACCAGAAATGGGCTTCACACATTGTACCCATGTGGGGATTCGAACCTGGGTCTTCGGCATGACGAACCAATGCTTTAACCACTAGACGCCCCGAAACCTGTTGGAAGTCGACATTTTTATATGACCATTTACGGTATATCATAGAAGGGTTAAGACGACTAAATTGAACAGACATACACCACTCAACAACTGAATCAAGGTCTAAGATAAATCAGAGTATGGTATGCATACTGCACGAACAATAAGTTTTACCTGAGTTTCAACGGATTTGGAAAACACTACTGATAAGACAATGATTTTATGTAAGGTAATAAATGCGTTTGCACACAAAGAAGAGAAACGTCTGGTCACGTGATAAACCTACACACGTGGTGTGAACACTGGAGCAGAAACATCTGTTATAAACGAGCAGAGCAGAGCAAGCTTCAGAGTTATCAGCTTTTGTTTGCAGAACGGTGAGGTACAGTCCCTGTTGAATTTGCTCTCTAAGCATTTGGTGAGTTGAATTTGTTACATCTTTTCCTAGTAATGAGCTGTAATAGTCCAGTGTATATTGTAGCCTGTTTTAAAAAAGGATATGTGCGAATTTATATATTTTCTCAGACCCAATGACCACTTTATTTGAAATATACATATTCACAATTGTTTTCAACCCCAGCATTGGTTTTCAA